TTGAGCAAGTGTTAGCACTTTATTGAAGGTGTTTGGTCTTCTGTGAAATAACAGTGTTTCTCTGCTGAGTTTTTAGTGGGTCAATTTATTGAAGGTGTTTGACCGTAATAATTTAGGATAAAACTGTAAAATAACAGTATTTCACTGCTGAACTATAGAATTTCTACACCAATCCTGTACTGTTCTACAGAACAATTTTATAGAAAACAATAGCAATTTTCTATAGGATTCTATAGATTATTTTGTGGAATCTATAGTAAAATTCATATATGAATTCTATAGAATATTTGCCACTATCCTGCAGTATATTCTACAGAAATTCTATAGAAACATCAATAGATTTTTCTATAGATTATTTTGCAGAATCTATAGTAAAATACATAGGTAAATTCTATAGAATATCTGCAAATATTCTATAGTATTCTTCAAAGAAGTTCTATAGAAATGTCCACAGGTTCTACAGAATATAGGTCACTTTCTATAGTATTCTACAGAATGGTATTCTACAGAAAAGTTCTATAGAAAGCATCCATGGGGTTTTCTATAGGATTCTATAGATTCTTTTCTAAAAAAAAAACATCTACACAGTATATATTTTCTATAGTACTATAGAATTCTATAGATTATTTCCCAGAATCTATAGTAAAATTTCTATAGTATATCCGCAAAAATCCTGTAGTATTCTACAGACAATTTCTATAGAATTCGTCCATAGATTTTTCTATAGTATTCTATAGATTATTTCCCAGAATCTATAGTAACATTTCTATAGTATATCCGCAAAAATCCTGTAGTATTCTACAGAAAATGTCTATAAAATTCGTCCATAGATTTTTCTATAGTATTCTATAGATTTTTTTGCGAAGGGACCCCACGTGGTGTGGAGGGGTCGTGACAGTGGTGTTCATGATATATGATAAAAAAAACATAATTAATTAAATATTCATGAAATCAGAGTAGACATTGACACATTGTGAGATGCATTTCACTAAGTTCTTTCAACTGGAGTAGGTTTCACCATTGGACTTGTCTGTGTGAACATCCATTGATCTACCCGATTTTCTGCTGATGCTCCTTGTCTTGTCTTTATCAAATAAATAAAAAGACATGTGCATATACATTTTTTAAATGTGCAAGCTGATGGAAAACACAAATCAGCAATTACAAAAATACCAGAGATTAATCCATTTATTTCACACAAACATTCTGAGAGAAATTCAGTCTGACTTGACTTAGGATACAGGTGAGCTTTTCCTTTGGACCTCATGTACCAGTGTATCATCCAAGGTGGACTGGTCCATTCTACACATACAAGTGTAAGACATGCATAGCATATTCCATAATTACACACAGACTATTGTGTATCAGCACACTTACGCCGTTGTAGCCAAAATCTGGTTCATTCTCTATAAATGAGCAAAACAAATTTTACCACACCGGTGTTTTGCTTTATACAGTCGTTTTGCGCAAGCGACAATATTTAAACAATGTCATGTGCATTCTGAGAAATGTTAACAACAAAATGATTACCTGATTGGTGCTTTTGACTCTTCTTTAGTTTGTCTACAAACTCTGTAAAAAACCTGTACAAAAGTTGCATATGTTAGGATATTTTTGACACATCTCTCTCCATTTATAATAGACAAATGACCTGAACTCTTGTGCATTGCTGACTTAATTTGATCCAAACTAATTCAATATTTGAATATCCCATGGGAAGCAGTGTTGGGTGCATGGGCGTCGCAGCCATTATATGAGGGTGGGACAAGTCCCCCCCACTTTTTGAAATGATTAGTTTAGACCCCCCCACTTTTACCATGTGGAAAGTCCGTGAATCGGTCTATCCACTCGCCGCACTTTGTAGAGCGCTGTGTCAGTGCTTCACTATCAAATCCATTCCACTTGCTTATTGAGAGAATGCCCAAATCAATGAAACTCCGTACCATGTTTTCACTGGTACTTTGTACCAAGGCAGATTCTCACATAGCGCGCATGTTCAAGGAGTGTTGTCATAGTTGGACAGCTCAGATCTGTATGGGGTGTGACTTGAGACAAAGAACAGAGAACTAAGCTGACTGAGCGGAGAACTAACGTGTCAACGTGCGCCAACGCCTCCATCAATTTTGAATGGGTTGACGCAGCGCCATATAGACTGAGAGTTACGTCATCTCCGTTCACTCCAATGGACCACTTTTTTACAGCAATGGCGGATCGTGGAGCCTCTCAATCGTTCCCCGGAAGTTAGCGCCAAGGCTAGCAGAGCTGTAGAGTTGCAGCATAATAGACCGTTCGTGACGGACTTTTAAAGGTAAGAAGAAGTTTAAAGATTTATATTGCGGATATTATCACAACATCTGATTCAAATTAACATGTGTATTAAAGGATGTCAGTGGATTATCCCTAAATTAGTAGATTTAGGGAACGTTTACAGATAACAGATTAAGCTACCGGATCAAGTTAGCAACACAAGTTGAACAGCCTTTTAATTGTAAATTCCGTTCTCTTAATGTCATTTCGTCCAACGTTGTTGAATTAGAAAAGGGGGACTTCTAAACGGGATTGTATGCAGGGGTGGAGGGAGTTAAATATTAGATAAATATAACTTTGGTGCGTGTAAGAGTGAGTGTTTTTAGCAGAGCCATATTGTGTCCTTGTGATTATGTTGATTATTACCTGTCTGTATTATGTTGCAGCTCAGCTGATTTTGGATTGATGGCAAAGGGAGAGGGACTTAAGTGAGAATGAAAACACAAGGTAAATTTAATACTACTGTTTTATATAAGTAAGCATACTAAACATGTATTCTATCACTGTATTATATAAGTAATCTTGTTAGTAACCTACTGTATGGCAGGTGGAGGGGCAGTGATGTTACAGGTGGAGGAGCAAAACTGCAAGACTGCAAACTCACAAGACAGAGAAATCAAAGTTTGTTCTCCAGAGAAGAGGTTGATTTCACTTCAATTTTTTATTTCATATTTTCTAAAGATGTGGAAATGGCAAAAAAACAACAACTTGAAATCTGTAACCAAGACAACTGTAACAACATGAGTAGAGAGCCACCAAGGTTTTTGAAGTCCCTCTCTTACTCCATTTTGCCAACCCAAACTTCCAGGTACATGACGGGACACTGAAGTATTATTTGAATTATTTGAAGGATTAAAGTAACGTGTTAATGGCAGGAAAGTTCAACCTGGTATATTCATTTTAA